CGGTGTATCCATTTTCCTTCCATTCCCTTTAAGTAGAATTTTCTAAGTTCTTTTCCCTGCCAGCCCTACCTTAACTTACCCACAGTAGCAGCTCTGAAACTGAGCTCAGTAAGCAGCACACAGAAAGAATCTTAATTAGTAAACTATAGTGGGCACAGAGGGAGGAATGAAATTATTAATTTATCAATGGAGATCTTGCTCCATGCTAAAAGCGCTTTTTAGCAGGTGTGCACTTCAAAACCTGAATGATCACAGAAAAAAAAATATACATCAGGGCAGCGTCTGCACATCTGCCAGCCCCTTCTGAGAGAAATCTGCAATGAAAATGTATCCACCACCAAAACTGAGCTGAGGAGACCTATTGCATGGCAGCCATTGGTTGCTTCATAAAAACTGATAGAAGTTTTTGAAGCCGCTGGCTCTGGAGCTGGGAATATGGGCAGGGCGTGTGTCAGGCTTGGAACAGCTGGCTTGGACGCTCACACAAAATCAGCTACAACGGTGCAACCGGGCCAGGACACCACCCAGCCAGCAGCCGTATGCTCTTCCTTTGTGGTTGCAGAGCTGTTCCAAAAGCTACGCTTTCATTCCAAAAAGGGGGAAAAAAAACCCAAAACCACCAAACAACCCAAGTCTTCAACCTATCCAAGTCTAGACCGGCTTTTTCTACAGTTGGAAATTATATAGTTTCAGTGTTCAGTGACAGCGTGGACAGAAACATGCTGTGCCCCACTCTGGGTTAACTTGACCCCTGAAAAGGTGTCAATTTTGCAGTCTCTACAAGGACAAAAATTATCCAAAGGGTGGATCTGACCTGCTGTAGAGATGTGTGCTGATGTGCAGCCAGGCTTGAAAAAACACAGCGGCCAGAGATGGGAACTGGGAATGGCCTCCTTGAGCACAGGAGGCAGAAAGGACAGCGCTGGGATGCTTTAAATGCAGTCGTTAACCGTGGCACTGCTGGCAAAACTGCTGGCAAAAGACTGTCACGCTGGATGCCATCCTCGTTCAGAGAACTCTCTGGATGCAAGCGCTCTCTTTAGCCATCTTCCTCGGGAGGGGAAAAAAAAAAAGACACAAAACCCGAGAAAAACCAACTCAATCCAAACACCTGAGCTGAGCATCATCAGCACAGTCTAAGGAGGAAACCAGACCAGGCATAGACCAAGAGCAGAACAGCTGAATTCCTTGAGTTTTGAGTCAAAATAGTCCAGAACTGTATAAACCACAGTAGATTAGATTTGTTAGTACTAACATTTCCCACCTGCATTCAGGCTCGGCTAGGAGAGCAGTTATGGGGGTAATTATCGTTTTCATTCACACTGAGCTTTGATTAACACACAGGTAATTCTGGAACGCCCCGGAACAGCTCTGCTGACAGATTCCCCGTTTGCCCTCACTCCCCCAAGTCCGTCTTCTGTTGTTTATTATTAAAATTTTCCAGTATAAAAAACATTAATTTTTTTTTAAACAACTAAGCGTGCAATGCAGTATCACTCTTAAAAGCCTTCCCTCATTTCACAACGTTTTTGAAAAGCATAAATAAAGCCACATAAATTTTATGAGAGTGACAACATGGGGTTTTGTTCAGTTTTGGTTCCAGTGCTCAGTATCTCCTGATGAATACTTCAGAGAACTATGCATAAACTAGACCTCATCTGCAATTTAAAGAAAATTAAAAACTTTTTTCCTCTAGCATATAAATAATCTCAAAGGCAATGAAAAATACTTAGCTGCATTTCATGTGCTACTACAATTTTCAGGATATTTTTGTGCCTCTGAACGTTTCCTTGACTTAGGATTTTTCAATACCCAAAATAGATTACTCTTCAGTGGCTAAGTAATATTATACAGCAGTTTAATAGCATTGCATTAACCCTAGGTTTGTTCGTAGCTTCTTCCAGATAAAGATATTTCCAGAACATCTGCATCAGTAGAGTAAGAGGCTTCTTGCATAACTGCTCTAAGTGGAAGGGAAAAAAAAAAAAATCTCCTGAAGGCTTTTTAATATGATCTTTCATAATTCAAGTTCTTGGGAATTCATACCAAAGTAGGAACAATGGATTCACTAAATAGTTCACTTTCACCTAATGCCTTCTGCATGCTTTGCTCTTAAGCTATAAAGCAACAAGTAACCACCTTTCCATACTTGTTCGTGGCCAAGGGAAAGCTTTCTGTTTGAAGTCTGAGGAAAAACCCTTCCATCTGCTTGCGTGGGTCGTGAGCCAAAAGAGAAGTTTTACAAACTGAGGTTCTTCCTCCTACCCTGTTCAATAGCTTAGAAGTATCTGATCAAGAAAAACTTATGGGCTTGAGGATTAAAATAAAAAAAAATTAAGGGAGAGGGAAGGTTGAAATTTCCAAAAATATGTAAATCTCTTCATTCTCACTGGATAAGTCTTAATATTAGAATTGGGCAAAAATCCATATCCCCAGCCCCAGACAGAAGCAAGTCTTGAGACACAGAGAAAGATTAGCATATGCTCAGTTCAGACCTGCTTATTTATTTCTTAAAATGTTTTTACTGAATTACATCAACCCAACCTTACCATTTTATCAACACAAGGAATTCTGCTTCTTTAAGACAACAACCTCCTCCAGTTGTTTTTCTGAAGACACCACCTCAGTCTGTTGCCTGTTTCCCCAACACAAGGGGAAAATGTTACCCACAGGCATGAGTAAGATAACAACTTGGTCCTCTTTACTGATGGAGAATCTTCAGATCTTGAAAATACCCTTCCCCACCTCTTTTTTTTTTTTTTTTTGCCTTATTAAAGATTAAAATCTGAAGTTACATACACTGGTCTATGCTACAGCTACAGAAATTTAAGTTTACATACCAAAATGCACAGAAGCCAGGAAATAAAAACTAGTTTCCATAGGAACATTAATAGCCTTCTCACTTCATCTTCTACATGCACTTGAACACACAAAGTAAAAGGTCCTTCACCTTTCCATTTCATGAGCTGGCAACTTCAAAACTCACTAGTAACATGCTCCTATTACCTGCATAGTCAAGAGAAAATCAGGGATCACCTGACGTACAGAGCAGTATCTATACAAACAGTGTATTCCAAGTTGGCACTCTCACTATAGATGAACACAAATGTTCTAAGCATGAGTATTTAGAAAGAAGTGTTCGTGCCAATGAAACACTGATACGTACTTCAACACCTATATACAAGCTCAATAACAGGAACTGGAGACAGGGATGCTCATCGTACACTGACAGAAACCATTTCACTCTTTATCAAGGACAGTCTGGATTTTATTCATCTGCTGTATTTTGTGCTAGAGAGCATTTGAAGGGGATTGGATATTTGAAAAGCTCAGTTTTGATGACCAGCTCTAACTTCCTTTTCTATCCACAGTGCTGGGCATACACCAGAAGGTTGAAGACCACACACACTTCAGACACTTACTCCTTACAGTCCCTCACTTGCAAGTTTTACACATTTGCCAGCCAGAGGCTCCTTTCAGCACAAACCACCCTCAGCTTTTGCGCCGCAGGAGCTGGCAGCAGGGTGAGAACACACCTCAGCATCTAGCTGGGCTACTCAGGACAGCCGTGCACAGTCCTCACCCCGAGACACGTTCAGAACAGAAGGGAGTACGAAGTAAACTTCACATCCCTGAGGTGTAACCCCGACACTGCACTGCCAACGCTGCACGCAGTCCTTGCTGCCCACAACACACGGATCTCGGCGCAGTTTGCGGCTGGTCTTTTCCCTTGGAACATCTTGCAGAGTTTGAGTTGACCGTGCCTACGTACCCCCTGCTCCTCAAACCATTATTCGTCAACAGTAATTTGTAAAGAAACCCTCTCTGCTCTGTTAGAGCCAAGGCCTTTGTTCCATGTTTTCTTGATTTAGATCCAAATACAGCTGGAGCGTTTAACAACCAGTAACGCACTCTATCCAATTCCAGAATCACTTCCTGGGGGTGGGGATGAGAATGGGGAGATTCACTTTTTAAACTTGGGAAAACTTGATTTGGTCTCAACTTGAAGGTCACTCTTCTAAAATCGTTATTTGGAACACAGAAGATCCAAATAAACCAAAAAAAAAACCTGTTAAAACCCCAAAAGAACAGCTGAAAACCCCCTTTTATTTATGGAGGTAGTCAAATTAAAACTATTTCATTTGATCTCTTATCTTGCTTCATACACATTTATTGCACTAGAACATACGCCTTCTATATAAAAAGATGCTGTAGAAAACCACAAGAGTGTAAATACTAGGATTCATGACTTGTTTGCAATTATATTTAATATTAATAGTATTTTGGTTTTACAAAGCAGTTGAAATTAAAAAAAAAAAAAGAAAAGAAAAGGAATAGCAAGAAACCCCCCATCTGCTGTCTAGCATCAGTAATCCTCACTGGTTTGTTTACCATTTATAAGGAAAACATCATTCAAGGTAGCTTGTCACAGAGACTCTTCTGCAATAACTGGCCTTCCGTGCAAATCCGTGGCGTTTGTCAGCTCGTTTGTTTTTTCTGAAAGTCCCTCCTCCTCCAACTCAAAGTACCTGCTAATGATAATGTTCTTCCCCTTTAAAGTACCTTCCAGCCAAAGACTGTAAATCTGGTAACACATGTCTGAGGATGGTAAATATCCTCATTTTACAGAGGTAAACGGGGTGTAGATAATTAAATTTGCCTGAGGCCCGTCTTTTGACTAGCCAGCCACAGAGCCCAGACCTCACAATCCCAGGTGACTCACCGTGGCTGGAGACTACGCTTCCTCTTCTATAGAGAATGAAAATTAACTGATTACACCGAAATTGTTTCCTTCTTCATCCTCTCTAAGAGGACCAGATATTTTGTAGTGTAGTGTCAGCTTCTGTGTCAATATTTGGATGTGGTGCAAATCTGTTCTCCAGTTAACGCCTGCACTAAACCCAGTCCCAAAGGAGTCACTGTGACATGCAAACTGTAGGCAGCTAGACAGTGGGTAAGATCAAGCTTGCTAGTGACATGAGACACTAGGGAGGTTAGCCTCATCCGCCTGCCGACGGGCCTCTCCGGCCTGGTCTCCAGGAACAAGTTCCACCTCCTTCTCCAGATAGAGGGTTATAGCCTAGAAGCACAGAGGAGAAATCCATGGTATTAATACTCATCCTCAATGGGCCTTCACCAACACACGAGGAACATGAAAAATAAATCTCACGATTATTTGCACCTTCTTCATACTTACTACATAGGCACAATTTTTTAAAAAAATGAAAGCAGAGGAAAATATCCAGACTTGAGATGGTTTGTTTTTGTTGTGCTAACAGTAAACCCCATTGCAACACACATGTTTTAATTTGATCAATTTGGGTTAAATTAAATTGAAATTAATTACCATTTAATGTCTCTTAAGTCTGCATTAAAGTTTTAATGCAGCTCTGTAAACAGAGCAGTAATTCTTACAGTAAACTCTTTAAGAATGTATCTGTTCTCCAAGAGCCCTAATAGGGACTTAGCAGAATCTTCTTTCAGTCCTGCAAGAAGTACTCTGAAGGTCAAGAGGTGGATCCACTCATTACTACTGTAAGATTTTTAAAAAATAATTTCAAAAGGCAAGTGTAGGCAGTGATGCAGAGACTTTAGCTGAACCTCCTGATGTCGTAACTACAGGTGACTTCATTTCACGAGTATGTACTCGGAAAGATACAACCTGGCACACGTCCTCAATTTGTTCCATACACGGCAAAAAAAGGAGAAAACCGAAAACCCAGCAGCCTTGCTACCCGAGCAGGTTTCAAAGCAACCTGTTCCACTGAAGCTTCAAGCAACACCTCCAACTTTGAAGTTTGTTTTCCTCACACTAGCCAAGTTCTGCTTTCTAGCTTGATTCAGCAGCTGAACAGTGCAGATGGTTCTTTCACTTCGCGCCGACCTACCTCATGAGAAGATCAGAGACCTCTAATTCTATCATCTGTTACTCAAGCCAAGATTAGGATGAAACTAGGACAGGTAGCAGCTGGAAAGGTGCCTCAGCCCAGCTGCCCTGATCCTGCTTCTGAGCACTTCTCATCCCCCACAGCGGTGAGCATTCTCTGCAAGAGCTATAAAAGGTATTTGACAGTATCGAGACATTAGACTGCATTCACGTTAAACAACGTTAAGATGAATCAATTGGTCAGCTCCTTCAGATGTTGCCAACAGCTGTCAGTAAAAGTATTCAAAGCAGAAATTTCAGCACTGAACTATCACTGAGGTTTAATATGTTTAAACAAGAATCTTCAGGTTTCACACATTTAATTAAGTGACTTAATCAGCCCTGCACCCTAAGTGAGTTTCCTTTTTAGTCTGATATGATTGAGGCTGTCTAGATGAAACCCTCCACCATAGAAAACTGTAATTAAAATATTATACCCAAATTAGCACTTGCAGGTATGGCACAGGCTGTGTGGCCAAGAGGAGAGAAAGAAGAGTGGCTGCATGGCTGATATACACAGTGATCCTAACGTGGGCTTTGTAAGACCACAGAAAGCAGTTAATCATCAAGATGATTTCAGCGGTTGACAGCTTAATGATAAGACCCTCTGGCGGTTTGCAAGAGTTGATAAGAGTTTATACATGTGCAGGATTTATGTATTCAATAGGTGATTATTGTGATATCTGATAAACAAGGTCACGTTTTGCTTAATGAAGTCTTTTATCTTCCTGAATCTACATAATACAAAGTAAAATATCCTTTTCCTGCCTTTAGTCAGCACTACAGGTGATTGAAAGACAGATCAGATATTAAAATACTGGACTTTTACAATAGTGGAGGAGGGATCCCAGAATCATAGAATGGTTAGGGCTGGAAGGGACCTTCAAAGGTCATCTAGTCCAACCCCCCTGCAAGGAACAGGGATATAAGTATTGAAAGTATACAGAAGTATTGAAAGAATCTATAATTACGAGTCACAAAAATCTCAGTAAATTACAGCAGAAGCATTTAGAAGAAAACTGAAACACTGTTTCTCTGAGGAAAATCACCACAGAATCTTCCTGCTGGGTTTTGCAAAGCAGACTACACTGGTTAGAGGTAAAGAGCTCGTTAGTCAGACACATTTTGCTTCCTCCTTGAAGGACAGAAAAACTATGTGTAGTTATGCAACAACTATGTGCACAGCTGGATAAATGCTGTTTCAAGCTCAGAATACCTTAAGGTTTTCATACTTACCACCTCCTCGCAAGGGCTTTTTGTTTGGTTTAGATTTTGGGACTGCTGATGAGGTGGAGGCACCAGATTCTGCTTCTTGCTGTTCACAAAAGCAAAAGTTACTCAGAATCCAATCAATGTGAATTTCAGCTACTCTAATCACACAAACATAATTGTAACCTGATTAACACAGTTGTTACCTGATTCAGTTTCAGGTTTCCTTTATAGCTTTTTCCTTCTTGCATGCTTTCCCACATTGCTATCTTCTGCCTTCGCTTCTCTTCTTCAAGCTAGGGAACAAACCCAGGATATGCAAGACTAAGATTTCAGGACTAACAGAATCACCAGGGCTACAAAAACAGCTGCAAAAGATGCATCAAAACCCAAGGGATCTATCTTTATCTAATGCAATATCTCTGAGTTTATGGAAGTATTTACTTTTTTAAACACCCACGTCTTCACAACCACCTCTGCTCAATATATACAGACTGCATCTGCAGCTTCTTTTGACCACTTGATCCCTTAAAACATTTTGAAAGTAAAGCAGAACCAAGTGGCAAGCTTAAATCCTGAGTAAAGAATATTGCATATGGCAGCAATTTAATGCACCATGTAGGGTTCTGCAGAAGAAAGTGTCTTTTTCAAATGAACAAGACAGCCAGCCACATATTTACATCCTAATACACATTATCAATAGTTCTCCCAGCTCTCTTCTAAAGCAATTTATCCACAAAACCAAATAAATTAATGGTTAAGACTGACTGCTGCCTTCTCAGCAAACAGAAAGGAAATGAAGTAGCTACTCCATCCAGTCAAATAAAGCAAAGCTCCCCGAGTCCAAGCACACTAGACCTACATTTTCTACACAGTGCCTCTTTTCTTCCACAATATGACTCTACATTCGTTTTTAACTGCCAATATTTCTGGCAGCATCAGCTATAAACTGAGGTCTGAGCGTAGCCGTCTGCAAAAGCCAAAACGGAAGAGCTGGGATTAATGAGCAGTATTGTTGTTAGACTGATCACATCCACTCTTCTACGCTGCCCCACACAGCAGCATGCTGCTCCTCATTGCCTCAAGCTGTAGTTGGAACTATGAAGTTACAGCAACGCTAAGCTACGTTTCTAAGAACTTCCTCCAGCCCCTGACTGCGTACACAACTAAGTCTCTGCAGGTACAGATTTACCTGTGAAAGAAAAAGAGATCAGGCCCACAGTGTCCCACACACACAATTACTGGTGGAGAAGCAAGTGCCACAGAGATTAGTTACTTCAGGAAGGAGCAGAACACTACACGTATCAATCATGCTCATCAAGGAAGAGCACCAAGACATCAGATCAGCACAACGTATGAGTATGTTGTGCTCATATGTGAGTACGTTGTGCCCCAACACAAGAAGGACATGGAGCTGCTGGAGCGGGTCCACAGGAGGCCACGAAGATGATCTGAGGGCTGGAGCACCTCTGCTATGAAGACAGGCTGAAAGAGTTGGCGCTGTTCAGCCTGGAGAAGAGAACGCTCTGGGGTGATCTTATAGCAGCCTTCCAGTACCTAAAGAGGCTATAGGAAAGCTGGAGAGGAGCTTTTTACAAGGGCGTGTAGTGACAGGACAAGGGGCAATGGCTTTAAACTGAAAGAGGGGAGATTTAGATTGGATATAAGGAAGAAATTCTTCACTCTGAGGGTGGTGAGGCACTAGAACAGGTTGCCCAGAGAAGCTGTGGCTGCCCCATCCCTGGCAGTGTTCAAGGCCAGGTTGGATGAGGCTTTGGGCAACCTGGTGTAGTGGAGGGTGTCCCTGCCCATGGCAGGGGGGTTGGAACTAGATGATCTTCGAGGTCCCTTCCAACCCAAACCATTCTATATTCTATGTGCTTCCATCACCAGAGGTCCATCATGATACCTACTGCTCATTACTCCTCTGGATCAAACCCTACCAAAAGTGGTTCAGGTAATGAAGGGGGGAAAAAAAAACACCACCCACATTCCAGCAGAGAGAGCGAGTCTCCTGTTCCGGCATCTAGCACGGAACAAACCTTTCTATAACAGCAGCAAAGTACATGATGACAAATCTATGAGTTAGAGAGTCACCTGTCTTTGTCTTTCTTTGTATCTTTCTGCTTGTGCGTTCAACTCCTCTTGCATCCTGAGACGAGCTGCTGCCAGCGCTTCCTGCCTTCTGACCACCATGTCGGGTTCTAGGAAATTGGGAAA